ACAATCGTACTGCATTCATAAACGCACAACCGCACAAATAGGGTGGAAGATGGTAAAAATTCTAGGAATTATTATAGGTAGTTGGAAAGAGAGAGGTCGATTAATGAATCCTTGTTCACTAAATCTGCACTGAACGCCTGCAATAGGAATGACTCACCAATCATATGGAAAATGCTACTACTAATCAATTCAAGCAATGGTAAATAATGGAATTATAGAAAGTTTAAGTTAGAAAGTTGTGTGGGTGATATGATTATGTGGAGTGATAAATTGTTCTCGAAATGTGATCATCCGTAAATATTACTGTATAACAACGTTGTGAGACTTTAAACAAATAAATTTCACCCATAATAGAATAATACGCAAACTGTCAAATGGTAGAAATAATTGTTAAAAGCTTAACAAAGGGATTGCGTTATGCATAATTTTGTAAAATGAGGGCGAAATTTAGCTACAAATGAGCTTACGAGTTGATTACCAAATAAGCAAAACGATTAAAGTTGAAGTAGTCAGCAAAATAATAAAATAATTAAAACAAAGCTAATTTGTAAAAGGCTTTTATGGCAGGGAGGAAGGGAAGAAATGGCCAAGGTGAAGAAAGCGACTGTACAAAAATTCTTCTGAAGACAGGTTTGACTTCTTAATGTGGGGTTTCGATGGCTTCAGCCCTACGTATGTATATGTAAAGAAGCTGAAGACATACCCAGTCCAACATCGGAATTGAGGAAATTACTACTTTTATGTACTAAAAATGTCCAATTCCAATTCAACGGGCGTCTCTTCCATCGAGTTGATGGTGTCGCAATGGGAAGCCCTTTGGGATCACTTTTCGCAGACTTATTCTTGTCACGCCTAGAAACCGGTACTTTGCAGCGATATATACAAGAAACAGATGTATACCTAATTTTTAATTTAATTTTGATTTACAGCTTGATTCCACACTGTATTTTTGGTACAAATATGGAATTTTCAGCGTGGATATCGGTGGCCCAAATTTTGCAGGCCGACCATAGATATCAGGTGTGCGCCGGCGTGGGCTCGAACCCCGGACCATGTGCATGGTCGGCGAGAGTCCTAACCACTGTGCCACTGACGCATGTTGATGACATTTTTATTGTCTGTGGAAGCAGATCAAAAGACGAAGACATGTTGATAAAATTCAATTCATGCCATCCAAATCTCACTTTCACAGTAGAACACGAGGAAAACGATACCATTAAATTCCTAGACGTTTTTCTAGCCAAAATGAATAATGGCACAATCGAAAGATCTATATTTAGAAAGTCTTCATGGACAGGACAGTACATGCATTTTAAAAGCTTTGTTCCAACCCAGTACAAAAAGAACTTAGTCAGAACACTGTTCAATAAACCACGGAAAATTTGTTCTGACAGCACTATTGAACACGAAATAAAATCTCTGAAGGATATTTTATGTAAGAATGGATATCCTGAGAAGTTGATTAATGAATACTCTAAAGAAACTACCCCTTGCAAAACAATTCAAACAGTTCCAAAGAAACCTGTCTGTATCAATTGACCGTTCAAAGGAGATGACGTACAGGAAGTAGTGAAACGAAGACTCGACAAAGCCATCAAGAGAACTTATTATTCTGCAAAACTTGTTATTCTTAACACCATCAAGCGACTGCTTCAACAATCTCGGAAAGACCAGTCGCCAGTCCTCGACACTTCAAACTGCATATATCAATTTGAGTGTGTTTGTGGCAGCAAATACATAGGTCGTACGGAAAGGCGACTGTCTACCCGCATGATTGAGCATTTGCCAAAATGGTTGAAAACAGCTGAGTGCAAAGTCCCAAAATCCTCAATAACAAAACATCTCGTAGATTACGGGCATGATATCGACGCAGTCAAGTCATTTACCATTGTCAGCAAACAAAGAAACAAGAAGATGCTTGCAATTGCAGAGGCTTGTGCAATTCGAATTTATGAACCAGCTCTCTGTATACAAAAGGAGATGGTCGTGACTGTGAATCTAACATGGTAATACGTTTTACTCGTTAATCTTTACTGTTATTACTATTTTTCTACCTCTTCTTCTTCTTATTATTGTTATTATTATTATCATTATTATTATTCTCGATTCACTTAAAACTATGTTTCATCAGCATAATTATCTTAACTCACTTCAGCACTATTATTGTTATTATTTTTATCCTATCTATTACTTAGTCTGTTTGCAAATCTCGTTATATTCCCTAATGACTAATTGTTTATCTAAGTGATGTAATTGAAGCGTAATGCAATTTGTCTTAATTTTGATCTCTCATACTCTCTTTCCCCTTATCTATTTGAACATGACCTGTAAATTATTCGCACGTGTCTTTCTGCATGACTAATCCAGTGTAGTTTGTTTACTTATCAGTTTTATATCTCCCAATGTAATTTCAAAAGTATATATATCTGTGTATGTAGAGTATTCAGCTGACGAGTTCTACCGAAATTCGATGAATTCATTAAATCCTGCTTTATTAACCTGCTTTATTGCTTGTTTTAAACTACGAATGTAGAAGACGAACTAGTCAGACAAAATGAGGATTACTTGGAATGCTTTTGTTCACATCAACTTTATGGCCACGATCAACAAGTTGTGCTAATACAGAGCTAAGAACAGATCTTGTTTGTCGTTTACTTAACCACTATGCAAGATGATGCTCGGAAATGGAATGGTGCACCTGCCTAGTTATATGCTTAGTATAAAAAGCTCCATAGGATCAGTCAGAGTGGTATATACACATAGAGGAGACAGAATTAGGTAGTTTATGCATATTTCTCATACGTAAAATTGTAGTGGTTATAAACAGACAGTATACCTCTGCCAGGTTGAATGTTTTTTCTTCAAAACGTACTTCAGTGTTACTGTTTCACTGATTTCATCACCAAGAAACTGTACTTTTGTGGATCAGGGCCTCTTTGGAGCTATCGATATATTGATTTGTCATGGAGTTAAATTCATACTTTTATCTGAATAACCAGTTTTTCTGAGTAATGTTGCGATAATCTTGAGTTCCTTATTGAACGAGATTATTCTAGCTTTATGCAGTGAACACTGTAGTAAGTTGTATTTATATTTCAAAGGTGCACAAAGTCAATACAATGTGTATGCTGTTCTATCCAATTCAATGTACCATCCTCTTTCCTGATCAGAAAGACGTCTAGGAATGAAATACTGTCATTATTCTCTCTGCCGATGGTAAAGCGGAAAGCATATCACTGAGTTTATCGAAGATGTTTGGTTCTTCACAATCGCTTTGCATAATCAAAAATGTGTCATATATATGTATATATATATATATATATATATATATATATATATATATCTGTAGTATAATTCAATTTCAATAATCACTCCTTCCAGTAGTTCATTGAATAATTTCGGAAGTTCCGATCCTGGCTGCAATATATATATATATATATATAAGCCTAATTCACTGTTATGATTTCGTTCAATAAAACTTCCCAAAAGTTGCCAAAGCTATTTTGCATCAATATCAGAGTTTTCTTCAAAAAACATCAGACTCACTGCGAAACAACTTTGTCGATATAAAATACCTAATCCCTAAAGATTCTCTATCTAATTGTGCATTTAAAATAAAATCCTTTCCTAGAGTGTGACGCAATATTCATCGGAAAAACATCACTAGAAAGAATTTATATCAAAAGAAATGAACACCGTAGAGCTGAATCTGTCCGACCACCGAGAAATCCAGTTGAACTAGAAAAGCTTGAAAAATTATCAACCAGTCATAGGTCTACACACTGTAGAATCAGGACACAAACTTGATTTTGACAATGTTGAAATCACCATCCAGGAAAAGCATTTCACAAATCACGAAGAACGTCTAATATCAGAAGTGCTGCATATCAAGTGGAATCCGAATTGTATGAATAAGAATGATAATGATAATAGCTTTATTCCAAAACAGTACTTGCGATACGGAATGGAATTCTCAGCATTTTCCTACAGTATTGCATCCGGTTAGCAAATTAACAATGAAATAAAATTCCACATAGATTAAGGGTAATCTCAGTTAGTTTTGACAACAACATAATAGCCAAAGTTTAACAGAGTGGTTGAAGATACTAGAAAAGTAGGTTCTAGCATATTTACTGGCATAAGCAGAAGAAAGAAACAAAGCAGCACATAACAGAGAAAAAAAGAGGGAGAGAAAAGGAAAAGAAAGAAAACGTTGTAACTATAAAAGATCTGAATTGGAAAGACGAGATCCAGTTGTTCTACTGACTATTTAATAGGTTGTAGGTATCACGGCTAATGCTTTCTTTATCGCACAGAAAACGAGTTAAGTAGGGTATGATTGAGTTTTTGTACTTATTAGTGCGAGCATATCGTTTTCTATATAGGCTTCTGATTTTGCCTGAAGAGATACAAGGTCAGAGTTATAAATGAAGAGGGTGTTGTGCGTTAGACTAACAGAACTTGATCTGGTTACAACACCCCCTCCCCCATGAAATGACAAAATCAACACGAATGTGATAAGCTATTTCACTATGTAAACACATGCTGCTATTATAATTTTACACACTTATCGAATCAAACAGTCTACACATGATTTTGTTATCATTAACAAATGGCCAACTTGACATCGCAGAAATAACCACATGCTGAGGAACGATGATTACGTTGTTACATATATAAGCTGAGATTTTGTTAATTTCTGGTTTAGTGATATTACTTTGATAAAACTATTGGCAGGAGCATTAAATAGCGAAACGTCATTAAACACAACAATATCGTATTGTTTTTTATTCACTGGGAAATATAGAGAAAAAAGCCTCTATTATACTCCGAAAATTTATCTTTCTTCCTTCATTCTTATTGGTTAATTTTTATAAGTACATGGGAGTATATATTACGAATATGATTGGTTCTTCTTCATTCGAACAAATCAACGTTATCATTAGAGACGGATATGTATATATGTGATGAATGAAATCCATTTGTTTTAAGAATCGGTTATCAAAAATAATTCTAAAAAATGTATGATAATAATATTAATAAAATGATTTTCTCAAAATATAATTTAAAAAAAATAGAAGAATAATTAGGATATTTTATTAATTCTAATTTTCAAATGGATGAATGTATGGGATCACCGATTACGAGCTTACTAAATCATACTCAATCGCCTGTAAATGATCCTTTCGAAAATAGTGGACTTGTTAAATTTCGTAATGAATTTAGTAAAATTCATGGTCCATTATCTTTAGCTGTATGCGCATTTGGTATTCCTGCAAATCTACTCAATATTATTGTGTTAACACGTCGTGAACTCGCTCAAACAGCTACAAATCATCTGTTGCTATGGTTAGCATTTGCTGACCTTCTTCTCATGGTGATGTATGCTCCATGCCTTTATCATTTTTTTATTCTTCATCCGCATCCAATGAAACCGCCAATTTATACACCATCAAAATTATGGATTACATATCATGAAATATTTGCGAGTTGTTCGTTGATGTTTCATTCACTAGCCTTATGGTTAGCTGTTATCCTAGCTTTATTCCGTTATATACATGTTGGATTTCCAGTGATCGGTTCCACGTATACAACACGGAAACGTGCATTTTTGTCAGCTGTACTGACGACAATATGTTGTATATTTATTACTATACCAAATATACTGGTAAATCATATAAGATCATGTCATGGACCCGTATTCAATGTTAAATCTTATAATTCCGTTTATCAAATGGATACATTGAACAAAAGTAATGTACAAATTTATTATTTTATATCATCCGATCCCTACGATGATGAGACGGATGATAATAAAAGTGATCCGAATGCATATCATCTTACATCAGAGCATTCCAACTACTCATCTTTATCTTCATCGCCCTCGACAACATTCCAACATTCATTAATGTTTAGAACACCATCAAAACGATTGCACACCTTTAATGTTTGGTTACAATCGATTGCATCAAAGATAGCACCTCCATTTTTATTGACAATATTAACTATTCTCCTGATTGGAGAATTACAAAAAGCAATACGTCGTCGAAGAGCTCTATTTCGTAATCGTGATAAATTACAGATTAAAACATTGGCAGTACCTCCACCAAGCGGAGGAGCTGCAGGAGACGTGAAAAAGAATCATCAACGACAATCTATACCATTTATTCATAACTCATCAACTCTATCCAACTATTCAAATGATGAAGGTAAAAAGTTGACACGTGAAAATCGTACTACAGCTTTACTTTTGACAATTGTGATATTTTTTCTTATCATAGAATTACCTCAAGGTATACTTGTGATATGTTTACATTTAATAGAAAATTTTGAAGAGGATGTTTATCAACATGTTGGAGATTTATTGGATTTTTTAACTCTACTGAATGAATCGATTAGTTTTGTTATCTATACAACAATGTCACATCAATTTCGTAAAACATTTTATAATACATTTTGTCCATTATTATATAATAAAATGAATCAGTCACAGGAGAATACATTGAATCGTTCTCATCATCATCACCAACAACAACAGCAACAGCAACAGAAATACCAAGCTCACCGCCAACAACAATGTTCTGAACAGATTCTTTTAACAAAGCAGAAGGTGGATCAACCTTCATGGGATCCACAGAAATCAGAAAAGATAATTAAATTTTCAGAAAATCTCAGAAATAAAGATGGTATCAACAATGTGAATAATAATAATAGTGATAAAACATTAAGTAACAATACAGTAATCACTCAATCTTCAATATGCACATAGTCAATGAAAAATTGAATTGTCAGTTGAACAAGTAATTGAATTGAATATTCAAATATTGAACAGTTGGGTAATGCTTTTGAACCAGATCAAGAATATATATGTATATATGTATCGAATAAAATAGAGAATAAGTATATGGAAAATTTCACAGTTTTAAAATGTAATTTATAGTTGAGAAAAACAGCAATAAAGTAGTCCTATTTCGACGGTTGTGTTTAATGATATCGAGTAGCCTTATATGTTCTATATACAATAAATCTGGTTGCCTTGAAGGCACCTGGGAAGAGTTAAAGGTTTGTGTCAACTTTTATTGTGACAGGAATCAAGACGGATAGTATGAAAGACACTTCTGGCTAGATGACTATTGCGAGTAGTTAAATGTATGGCACTTAGTTCCAAAGGGGTGAATCCGACAACCACCTGTGTCCACAGTCTCCTTCAGACAGTAGCTATCGCGTTAAGATTATCATTTCAAATCAAGAAATCTTTCAGGAATGTTAAGATACACATATATATGTCTTTATATATAAGATTTTAAGTATCCAGACAATAGATGTTACGAATTTCCTGGAATAATTTCAGCGCCAAGTCAGATCGAATCATTATTAATTATTTAAAATAATCCCAGTATGTTTAAGAAAAAATCAAAACAAGATTTCTCTGAATGTTTCCATGTGTAAGGCATAGCTTCTTTAACAGAATTATTCGGATTTTATTAAAAATCCGAATATTTATAGCCGAAAAAATTGCACAAACTGAAGTGAGTTCCTTTGAAGTTCACTTGTCGGTAAACCAATAGAACTGATGTCAAATTGTCACATTTGCATTTTTGTATTTTCTCTCATCTGTTTTGCTTCATCACAGTCAGCCAAATAGGTGATAAGTCTATCCTATCTCTACTATTTACTGCATTCGATGTGGTTGAAATATGCAAGGCTACAGAGGTTAATCTTTCTTTAATTGTTGAATGAGAGCCTTAACCTAAAATTTCAACGTTGCTGAAGTCGATATTATGTCCACTGTCTATCTCACGCATTGCTACGCCTGCTCTTTTCTCTAGACTTTTTAATTCTACTTCATTTCTGAGTGGACGTTTCGTGCACAGCCTGTGTTCACTCACTCAGACCTTCATCCGTCTACTGTTCTCCCATAACATTATGCTTCACATTATGAACACTTTATCCTATAGACACAATTATTTTGCAACATTTTGGGAACCATGTCTTTGACATTCATCAAAGCTTCCTCTATCTAGAGACTCAGAGGGCTTGAAATACACTTCAAATATTATATAGAGCAAACAGTCTTTGAAGTTGTTCCGCTGTGGCGTTTCGATAAGGAGTGGCTATCTTCGATAGCAAAGATTTTAATTTTTTTGTTTTCTGTTATGCTCCCTTTCATGGATAATCTTATCCAGTATCTTTTTCGGATAACCGTTTCCAATCGAAATTTGTTTTATACTAGAGATCTCGTTTACCGTGTCATCATTATCTGTTGTAATGTTTCTATCTCTGTTTAAATGATTTAAAGCTAGTGAAACTTTCATTCTTGTTGGATGATCCTAGTGGAAATTGAATTTCTTGTATATCGTGAACTTTAGTTTCTTATCAGTTGGTAATTTTATAGGACAGTCGATAAAGGCGTCAGATCCTTCATCCGATTCTACTTCATCAATAAACTCTATATATTTTGATATTAAGTTAATCTATGTTAGAAAGTTTTTAATTTTTAGCTTTCCTAATGATGATAAATGTGGCTTCCTCATATCTGTATTATATTCTAGGATAATGACTAAAACTTGTTAGTGCTCTTCTTTTTAAAGCTTTCATATACAGGTTTGCTATAATTGGAGATGCTGGTGGACCCATTGCAACTCCATTTGTTTAACATTATAGTTTGTCTTTAAAGGCCAAATATGTAGATTCTTAAAGAAGTTATAAGCATTATATAACTTCTTCTATTGTAGTGTAGATTTAGCTAACACATTCTTGTTGTTTTCAAGCTCATATTTCATGATACCAAGTGAATTAGATATAGGAATACAAGTAAATACAGAAACCACATCAAAACTTGCCATAATTTTGTCTTCTTTAATGTTAACTAGTTTTCTTCTAAACTCCTCAATATTTTTAATGCTCGGAGGAATACTGAATGAAGTGGTTTTAGTATTCGTGATATGTGTTTTGATAGAGTGTATGTTACTGCACTTTTGAAGTCAATTATTGATCTAAAAGGAATATCTATTTTGTTGTTTTTCGGACTTTCATAAAACCTAGTAGCCGAGGGTTTTCGGAGCTACTGGAAACCAAAATGAATTCCTCAGTTTTGGTTTTAATTCTCTGAGTAGACCGCACACTTCTGATTTTACTTTAATCATAGTACCAGAAGCTTTGTTGATTGGTACTAGTGTCATAACCTTCTCTATCGAGAAGCACAGTGACATTGCCGAAGTCAACTTTAGTTATCACAATAGATCTACATGATCTGAAGAAGAAGCTGTGGCTCACAGAGCCAAAAGTTTAGAAAAAACGTGATTTGATCTTCCCCTAAGCATGTCGGGATTATTTTAAATAATATAAAACATACATATATCTATATACTTCAAGTATTTTATGGCGCGTATTGACATCATTTGAAAGAACCAAGAAGTACTAAACATCTATTTTGTCCCAGTTTGGGACAGTGTACACTGATGACCAGATTGAGGATCAGTTGAGTTAAGACGAGAACCCAACAACTTTTAAACATCTGAGATGGTAAAATGTTTTGACTTGGAGGATAAGGGAGATTATTGCCATCGATTTATCTATTTCAGGATTCTCTTTTATGAAAAATAGGCCTACCGCATATTTTGAAAACGTACTGGATAGTATAAAAGAACGCAAGACTGTTCAGTTTTTATTAAAATCTTTTCCATACTATGAATTCCATAGAAGTGAAGTCTGTCAACAAAGTACTTTATAGTTTTGTCAGGATATTAAATTATAGAGCTTATAAATTATTTAAATTAATTAGGACTTAAATCCGAATATATCTACTGAAGAAGCTGTGGCTTATACAGCGAAACGTTCAGAAAACAGATCTTGTTTTGATTTTTCCTTAGACACGTTGGGATTAATTTAAATAATTTATAATGAGTCAGTCTGACTTAACGCTCGAATTATTCTAGGAAGTTCATAACTCCTACAGTCTAGAAACTTATATTTTTAGAGGTTATACCCTGAAAAAATCTTAATTTGTTTGTATTTTCTTTTTAAGGATACTGACAACGAAAACGAATCATTTTTGTTCAGTGAGGTTATTGAAAACTTGGTCGCAAATTCAATTAGTTACAATCAAACAGAGTATAAAAGCATAGCGCATTACACATGACAGATAATAGTGATTTAATTCTCTTGATAATTATAGTTTTTTATGCATCACTGCTGTCTCATACGAAACGCAGGGCTTCAAGCACCAATCTGGGGAGTTTCAGTGACGCTGGTGTTTTTTGTTGTCACGGTGTAGGATTTCCGATGTTCCCTCATTCTCAAGCTTACTATAAGCTAGACAATTTTGTTGGAGTGCGTCGGTTGGAAGAAGGACACGGAATTTTCGCCCGCGCTTAGCTGGTGCCACTGACACCCTGGTAAATAAACAAGTGTGCCTTATTTGATTTTTCTCTAATTAGTCAACACCAACAGTTAAGGACGTCATGTGCGATAAATAAACGCGACTGAACACTTGGTATTCTGACGATGTCATCTTCTATTCCAGTAGAATTCGCGTTACTTCCAGGAGAAGAGTCTTCTTCCCGACAGCATACATTCTATAGTTAAAAATAAACTCATAATTTGTGGAATTTAGTTCGCCAGTTTCTCTAACAATGTGTGCGCAGAAATTTACAGACTCCTAGGGAATATAAATTGTCCTCTTATCACTAGAATTATACGTAATTTTGCATCAGATTTAATGGGACATTTATTTAGCGATGAATGTCTGTTTGTCAGTAATTCGTTTATTTTTACACATAAAGTAAGTGCGTGTGGAGCTTATTTTAATTACTACAACAGGAATGACCGCCATGGAGGATAGAAAAAATTTATCCTTTTGACGATATGATCAACAAGAGTGCGCATTTGTCAGGTCAGAAACTAAAATATACCGAATAACAAGATGAAGGTACCTCACGTAATTCCTATTTAAAAACGGAATTAACCATCTTTAATTCTACAGCATAAATTTAAAATTATGGTGTAGCTATTGGTTATTAGTCATGTAGAAGAAAGCTGGCTGAGAGGTTAGTTTTGAAAGGTCTGCATTTTACTGTATGTCCCGGGTTATTGACTTATTATGCGTCATTAAAGTGTTAAAGGGCACTCTATAGTGCTGTCAGTATTATTTCTAATAATACGTAGTTATGTCTGTAAAAGGATAGAACCATCTCATCAAAGACCGGCCATTACACAGGAGTTCAATATTGATTGGCAATACAATTCTGTAGATACGCCTCTTTCATTTAAGTAAGTATACTACTTTCGAATAACTGTATCTCTGGAAAAATTGGTGCGTCGGTGGCACAGTGGTTAGGACTCTCGTCAACCATGCACATGATCAGGGGGTCAATTCCCTGCCGACGCACAGCTGTTATTTATAGTCGACCTGAAAAATTTGGGCTGCCGAAATCATATGCTGAAAATTACATACTTGTACCAAAAATACGGTGTGGAATCAAGCTGTAAATAAAAAGAAATAAGTATTTTCACATCAAGTAGATCTCGGCACCTATCTTCGTAAAAAGTAAAAGATTATTGGTTTTAGGGATTAAACTATTTTCTGTGTTGATAAGAACTATTGTCATTTGGCTGATAATGACACCAGTCACTGACAAGTATCCAATCGAGTGTATGTATCTGTGTGTAAAAAAGGTTTGTCAATTTAGAATAAAAGTTGGTTCGGAATATTGTTTACGTTATCAACATATTTCAGAAAATGTGATGAATAATCAGGTTTTAACTTGGATATGAAGATAAGTAAGTTAAGATTGAGGTTGCACAAAAGGAATAGCGTTCAAAAAGACTGGATGGTAGAGCATGTCTGGGTGGGTATTTTCCCTAAAACGGAGGTTATTCAGAGATCTCTGAACATTTAATCAAATTATAGCAGTTTTCGGTATTTTTTACAAAACCTCTAGATTAGTGAAGGTTATACTGATTTGACGTTTTAATTTCACCTTAAACAAAGGTCATTTATACAATCAGTCAAAGGGCCAGAAAGTACAGAGCACTTGCATCCTCTAGTTCTGAGAATTTTCGGCCTTAATTAGTTGCTCTAGACTGCTAAGAATTACATGTAAGATTTCAGTGACCACTGATTTATACAGATTTGATCCAACAGTGAGTGATACACCAACCTCGTACCCAGTTAGCATCATTTTTGATAATTCAGTTGTACAAATCAAGCTCCCTAAGGTGAGAG